AGATAGATAGATAGATAGATAGATAGATAGATAGATAGAGTGCTTTTTACGATACAGATTGCTTCAGCAACTTTACAGTACACCATGATCTTCACAAAATTTGATACAGATTCTGTTTCAACAATAAAGCGGCTGCAACATTTTCCCGGTAAATTAAATGATAAAATCCTGTATCGTTTATTTTTAAATTATGATACCTAATGCATTAACTAAGATTGACAGTGACACACTGAATCTTTGAATCAAAGTTAATTTATAATTCGTAACTTTTTCCATTTTAAAGTTCATTATTTGCATATAATGAAATATATATAAATTAAAGGGTCATGAACGGTCAAGGGGGCACTGCAGTTTTTAAAATATTATTTAATAATGTTTCCTGAGGTGCATCTATAATCTTAGTATATTTTTCATCAAGAATTTGTATTTATGGTAATTTTCTGCCCTGGATAGATGGGTAGGAAAGAATAAGTCATAAGAATAGTTCATATTTTAAAGTGGGGAGTTTTATGCTTTAAACCTTGCATTTAAAACTTATGTTTTTTTGTTGTTGTTAAACAACCTCTTATATGTCTAAATTAAAAAAAACATTTTGATTCTCCATTTCTTCTCTTTATTAATATCATTCAATGATTCTGGCAATACGCCATGTGTCAACAGGTTTATGCGAAATACATGCAGAAAAATATCATGTATTATTAAAAACCACATTTACAACATTTATATGATTTTTTAACATTTCAGTTTTATTCTACATGACTAATTTCAAATTATTGTTCTGCATCTGTTTGATACCACAATTCAAAATCATGAACTTCATTATCATTTAAAAGACATTTTTAATATCCTGAAGTTCTGAATGTTTCAGAAAGGCGGGGCATAGAGGAGAAACAATGTACAGTATGTGTTATTTGAACCTTAAACCGCATAAACATTTCAACACCAAATACACGAAATAATGTTCTTTTTAGCAGCATCATATGACCCCTTTAAAGTCCTGATATACACATGCACATCCTGATGCTCACCAGCAGGGGGCTGTAGTTGGCTGGGGCGGACAGAGATCCATGCAGACCAGAGGCTGGAGGGAGAACAGACAAGCCAGAGGAGAAGATCCCCAACGCGCTCAGGTTTAGACCTGGCATCATGTTAGTCTGCTGCTGAAACCAGAGATGGAGAAGGATGTGAATCTGAGAGTACAAGTGAGACTTTATGCAAAGCGTGGAATGAACCAGTCTTGTTCAATTTCACAGGTTTATGTTAGTCAAACAGTTACTGAATAAGCAAATTAAATGGATTAAACGAATGCAGTTCTACTGAGTTAATGCCAATTCACATCCACACTCTGCCTGATAATCACTGTCTGTCCAAGCAAAACAAGTTCTGCTTTACTAAGATTAAAGAAACAGGATTAAAGCCACTGTTAAACCCAAACACTGTGTGAGAACAGTTAAAGGATATGTTTGGTGTTTGTCAGTCCATATTACATTGTTCTCTGCAATATTCAGATTCAGATCAATTGTGAGTATATAAGTCTACTGATGGACAATTCTATATTTACATTGACTGCTTTATCTACATGTCATTGCTGTCCATGGTAACATGCCGACATATTCATATCTCAAGTTGAAAAGCTTAACTGTCCTTGGAGGGCATCAGTAATTTTATAGTAACAAACCTTTCGGTAGATGACTACAAGTTTACCTATTTTTTTCCTGATTTAACCCATAAAAATTAGTTCAGTAAAGCATTTAGGTTAATGCATTTAGGTTGATTAAGCAAAATTAAATACAATTTTAGACTTAAAACCAGTTAACTTAGATGTTGCCATTTTTAGGTTACCATTTTTTCCTCAATGTACCTAAATATGTACGCTAAGTAGTTCATATAAATTGGAGATTAAAATTTGCAGATTAATAGTAATAATAAACTATTATTGTAAAAAATTTTTTTTAAAAGTCACAGAGCTTAATGGCGGAAGCTTTACTTTAACAAGACAACTCCACAAGTAAGATACAATAATCAATTACTCAAATTAATAATAATAATGAATAATTCAGTAAACTAATAACTTCAATATTTCACATCCCTAAATTCATTTATCTGGTAAGTTCTAACAAACTCTTGTTGCTGTAGTTCAAGAGTTCCTAAATTCTTTTTCAGTACATCACTAAACGCTACTTGTTTAGAGCATCATCTGAAATGGTACGGATGTACATTCGATCCTCTGAAATGGCGCAGTATATTTGTGTATCTTGGTAGATCTGTGTTCTTAAAGGGTTAGTTCACCCAAAAATGAAAATGCTGTCATTAATTACTCACCCTCGTGTTGTTCGAAACCCGTAAGACCTTTGTTCATATTCGGAACACAATTTAAGATATTTTTGATTAAATATGAGGGCTCTCTGACCCTCCCATAGACAGCAAGGTAACTACCACGTTCAAGGTCCAGAAAAGTACCAAGATGATCAACAAAGTAGTCTGTGTGACATCAGTGGTTCAACTGTAAAGTTACGAAGCTACGAGAATACTTTTTTGTGCAAAGAAAACATAAATAACAACTTTATTCCACATTTTCCACACTTGTGGTCGCGCGTTCACGACAGTATCATGACGCGAGCATGCAGCGGCGCTGACCCACACGCTCGCGTCATGATACTGTCGTGAACGCACGTCCACAAGTGTGGAAAACACTCACTTGTACTTTTCTGGACCTTGAACGTGGTAGTTACCCTTGCTGTCTATGGGAGGGTCAGAGAGCCCTCAGATTTAATCAAAAATATCTTAAATTGTGTTCCGAAGATGAACGAAGGTCTTGCGGGTTTGGAACAACACGAGGGTGAGTAATTAATGACAGAATTTTCATTTTTGGGTGAACTAACCGTTTAAAACTGGCTCCTGATTTACCAAAGTTTTAGAATGTGTCACAATACACAAACGAAAGGGGACTCTTTGGGTGGTTGTTTGACTACATTCGATTGCAGGAGAAGTTTGGAGGATAAAAAAGGTATTTTTCTACAACCAATGAACTTTTATAATTACACATTTTTAAAATAAAATACCCAATCCTTCTAAAAATACAGGTTTAAAGTTCTATAAACACAGGCTTTTACTTTTGACAGCAACTCCCACATAACTGCACAGAGATCAGTTAAGGTCAGGTCAGTTTCAAAAGATCAAAACATGCAAACAGTTTGGAGCACATGTCCTTGTACATTCATAATTCTCCACTTTTTATCTTTAAATAGGGCTGTCAATAGATAAAATAATTAATGGTGATGCAAATTTTGAAGTGATATTTCAGCTTTCAGCTTTAATAATGATAAATTCTTCTGTTAAAAGTCCCATCTGGATTCAATTTGCAAGTAAAGGTTAAAGGCTTCCTTCATCATTTACAAACAAACAAGAGTATTGTTGTAGGATTAGTGTGTTTAAGAAGAGAAAATAATACTGGCCCTATATAATTTATTATACGACACTTTTCACAACCCCTGTTGTTTCAAAGTGACTTCACATAAAACTGTTCCTATCTCTATAAACAAACTACCATCCATCCACCAATAAACCTCAAAAGCTATGATTTACTCACATTAAGTGAAGCCACATCATTCTCATGGGCTTCTCTAAGTTTCTTCATGATCTCCACTTCTGCATTACAGCACTCCTCCACCACTCCCCTCACCGTGATGGTACGTTCCTGGTTATATATAGTTAGGTCTTGTAATCTACAAAAAAAATTTTTTTTAAAAATGAAGAAAATAAGCATTGTCACTTCAGATGAACAATCAATACATACACAATAGGGCTGTGCGATATGCGATAA